CTTCTTCTTCTTCTTCTTCTTCTTCTTCTTCTTATTCTTCCTCTTGTTTATTTATGTTCTTTCTTGCTTCTTGCATAACTTATTTCACTTCAAAGTCTCAGAGCTAAAGCTTAACAGCATCAATGAACAAATCAGACACTTCTGCTTTGAACAAAGGATTAGCATCGCTTCACATGACAGATCACGTGTTATCCGGCTCAAGAATGAATTGCATAATATCTCCATGAAGAATCAATCAATGACCCAATACCTTACTCGGATCAAGACGATTGTTGATAATATCTCAGCAGTTAAAGCTACCATTGACACAGAATATATCAGTTTAGAAGATCTGTATTCAATGGTATACAATGAGAAAATCAACATTTCTAATGATTTTCCTCCAGATCAAACTGTAACTCAACTTGCTTTCTATACTCAAAGTGGAGAGGTAAGAGTAATTACAGAGGTAGAGGTCATAGTAGTCAATACCAATAGTTCAACAGTTTCTTCACCAAACCCAAAAGATCAACAGTTTCTTCACCAAACTATCAATCAAAACCCAGAAACTCATCTATATGTCAAATTTGCAACAAGAAAGGGCATACAACAACCAATTGTTGGCATAGACTCAATCTTAATTATCAACCGCCTAGACCTCAGGAGAGCACAACTCTAATTATTTTCGCAGCCTTAGATTCTAACTGGTATCAGGACAAAGAGGCTGCTATACCTCGAATTAGTGTTGATCTAGATAAACTACAACAGTCAAGGCCTTACCAAGGAAATAATCATTATTGGCAATGGCGAATCAATCTCCATACAAAATTCAGACAAAGAACTACTTCCTGCACCCAATCATAAGCTTTCCCTCAACAAAATTTTTCATATTACACATATATCACATAGTCTACTTCCAATATCACAGTTAGCAACCGATAACAACTGTTCTATCGCTTTTGATTGTAATGGCTATTGCATCAAGAAACGGTACACTCAGAAGATTATAGTACAAGGTCCTTGTATTAATGGATTATACCCAGTAGTTTCTCCTAAACAAGCTCTAATATCAACCACACAAACTTATGAAATATGGCATACATAGTTGGGGCATGCTAACCATCAATCCATGGCAGTTATCTCCAAACAGCAGCCACAACTTCTTATTTCTAGCAAGTGTTCATTTTGTAATTCATGTATCACAACTAAACAACGTCTTCCTTTCTCACCTTCTAGTAATCATACTTATTAGCCATTGGAATCAGATATTTGGAGACCTCCCCCACAAGTTTCTATTCAAGATTATAAGTATCATGTAACCTTTGAGGACAATTATTCGAGATATTCTTGGATAAATCCTATGATGTTTAAATCATAATTTCTTTCTCATTTCCTCAAATCTAAAGAACATTTGAGCTTCAAATCAATACGCATATTAAAATATTAAGAACATGTGGAGGTGGTGAGTACAATAACTATCTCTTTACACAATATCTCAATAACAATGGCATGATATATCAAATATCTTGTCCTTACACTCATCAATAGAATGGCTTAGTTGAACGCAAGCATACACACATTTTGATTACAACCGTGCGCGTCTAGCTAATTCAAATCTTCCCTCTTCTTTCTGGTTGGAGACGTTACTCACAGCTATATACTTAATTAATAGAATGCCATCTCTCACAACCAACAACAAATCTCCATATCAAATGTTACATAAAACAATACCAAGTTATCAATCCCTCAAAGTTCATCATTATGCCTTCTATCCATGGAGTCCTCCTGTTCAATAAAACAAATTAATACAAAGAGCTACACTTTGTATTTTTATAGGTTGTCCAGAAAATACCAAAGGATAAAAGTGTTTTAATCCCACCACAGAGAAAACTACTATATCCATAAATGTTATCTTCAATGAACTTCCCTACAAAGCAATTATCAATAAACCCCTAAAAAACAATAAACTATTCCTGCTTACACCATTTACATTATTGTCTATTGTTGTGATGGAAAAAAAAACCTTGAGCTTTGATCGAATAGGATCATATCAATTCAAGAAATTAAGAACAAAAACTTTGAACAGATACACAGCAAAAAATCTCAAAAAAGCACATCACGATTTATGTGGAAAAACTCGAAAACGAGAAAAAATCACGGACCCATACCGCAAAAAAAATTTCACTATGAAGAACCAAAATTGAATAAAGATACACACTCAGATCAACTCTCTACAAGCACAGAACTTCCAGATCTTCGCTACAAACATTCCTCTGGATCTCACTAAAAAAAGCCCTCGCACCAAATCCCCCCCCCCCCACACACAATTCACCATTATGAGAGAACCAGTTGAGAAACACATGAGTATACTTAATCCGTCACTTGAATCGAAGAATTAAGAACTGAATTGGAAGTGAGAACTATCCCAAGGCGCATCCGCACCACACTTGGGCTAGGGAGCATTATGCTCTCTGGAATCCAGAGCAACAACGCCCCGAAAAATTGTACAGTGGCGCCGCAGACCCAGATGCGGGCGCACTCTGTATAGGTACGGAGACGCCGCACCCTTTGTCTCCATGCAAAAACACCTCCTGCTGTTGGGTGCACTCTGTTGCTGTCAATCAGGCTTCATACATAATACCTATCTCAGCTATCCATAAACAAACAGCAAATAACCAAAAATTTCCAATACACATCCATAATTGAGTGACCTTCAATTACACCACAAACTGCACATGTCCCCATACCAATATCAATACATCAACTATTCCTCATTATCACATGATTAACATATCAAAATCCGGGTGTCTTCCAACAGAAATAAACTTCAATTTACAACACACTCTCAATCAAGAGATCGAACCAAGGAATTACACCCAGATAGTTAAGCATACACTAAAAAAAGACCATGGAAGAAGAATTAAAGGCATTAAAAAATCAGGAAACATAGATCTTAAATCCAAAACCTTCCAATCAGAAAAACCTTGGATGAAAATGAACTAACAAAATTAAAAGTCATGTGAATGGATCTATTGCCAAGTATAAAGCTAGACTAGTGGCTCAATGATTTCAACATGAATATGGATTTAATTACAAAGAAACATTTAGTCCAATTGCTAAACTTCCGGCAATTCGTATTCTACTTATCGTTGTGCTTCATCATAAGTGGATGGTACTTCAATTAGATGTTTCAAATACATCTTTACATGGAAAGCTAAATGAAGTCACCTATATGAGGCAACCAAGTGGATATGCAGATGGTACACTATCAAATCATGTTTGTCTTTTTAAAAAAGCCATTATGACCTTAAGCAAGCACCTAAGCAGTGGTTTAAGACTTTTACTAAACAAATCCTCGGCCATGGGTTTATGCATAGTCAAGCAGATCCCTCATTGCTTATATATCAGCAACTTGTCTTTTGTTGTATTAGATGTTATTGTGCTCACCGGAAACAACCCACATTCATTCAACAACTCACAAGAATTACAAAGCAAATTTTCAATGAAGAACCTAAGAATAGTTTCTACCTGTCTAGGTATTAAGATTCATCATATTCAAAATGGTCTATTTCTCTTCCAAAAATATTATGCTACAGAAAGGGATGGCATGACAAATTATAAAGCTCTTCCCAATCTAGGCTCCTATACAATCAAATCAGCACTTGAACATCATTAATCAATTGACAATCCTATGCTCTACAAACATATTGTGGGATCTCTTTAATACCTTAGCATAACAAGACCGGATATCACATTTGTTGTCAATTAACTCTCATAACATCTACATCAGCCACTTTACATACATTTTCAACAACTCAAAGGATATTTACGCTACATCTAAGGCACTCATGAAATTGTTATTCCTAAAAAATCTGGTCCTCTCGTTCTCAACGCCTATTCAGACGCAAGTTGGGCAAATGATCCAATAGATCGCAGATTTATTACAAGATATTGTTCTTATTTGGGTAATAATCTAGTCTCATGGCGAGTGAGGAAAAAACCAACTGTAGCTAAGCCTTCCACAGAAATCGAGTACAAAGCTCTTGCATCAACAATGATGGATGTCATATGGCTCAAACGGTTATTACATGAATTCCAAATAGTAATCATATGGCTCAAACGGTTATTACATGAATTCCAAATAGTAATTCAGTAACCGACCACCATATATTGTGAGAATGTATGAACTATGACACTGGCTCAAAATCTTGTTCTTCACACGATGAAAAAACACATAGAAACTGGCTATCATTTTAAAAGAGAGTGCATTCAATCAAAGGAAGTGAATATCACATGCATTCCTACAATTAATCAACCTACAAACATATTTACAAAGTCTTTACCAACAATATCAGAATGAGGGGGGATGATAACATTACAATTTACAGTAAATGTCAAGGACAGGGAATTCTGAATGAAGCTAATCAAGAATCCGCTTAACAGTTGTTTGTAACAAACTCTAACTAATTCTCGTGTATCTCAGATGTCAATATAAGGACCCCTTAGCGTGCATTTGACTGAGTAATAAGATTTTAGTAGAAATATGTAGTTTAAACTTCACTTTCATCTTCTTCTATTCTTCTTCTTTATTTCTGTTTTTTCTTGTTCTTTCTATTTTCTTAAATTTATGCAGGAACTTATTTCGCTTCATGGTTAAGCTTAAACAAATTTCCATTTGTTTCCCATTTCAAAGCCAAAGGGAATACTTTGAAATAGAGAATTCCTTTGAACTCCAAAGAAGTAACATGCACGCCTGAATTTGATTTGCAATATGTGGAAAGAATAAATTTTCGTTGCAAGTTTTAAAGTATTAACGGATTTAGCAAATCTCCAAATCCTGTAAATCCGAATTTATTGGATTTTAGGCAAAATTTAGAAAAAAATACGATTTATTAAATTCAGAATTTAAAAGTTGCCATTTTTTCTGTCTAGCAAATTTTAGGGGCTGCCTGGCAATACACCGATACCAACAGCCCCTTGAGTTAAAAACAGTATATCCAAAAGAACAAAAACTACCGCACCTGCGAATCCAGATACGTGCAAGCAGCCTCAAGCGCGGCCTCAAGTGCTCGGAACTCAAACGGCAGGCAATCCGGCGACGCAGCCCGGTTACCGAAGGAAGCAGCATCCTTGTTCCTAACGGGCACACGGCGCCCAATCTCCTCAACAAACTCCAGAACGTACGGATCGAGGGAATTGAGAAGAAGGACTTCATCAGCAGTAATGATGCAGCGGATCTGCTCAAGATTTACTACGATCGCCCGCTCGCGGCCGAGGATCGTAGAGGGATACACAAAGATTGGATCGAGGAGGCGGAGATCGCGCGCGGGCAGATCGCAGCGCCGCATGATCGTGAACTTGTCGAGCTCGATGGATTCTGCGATGCCTGTTCTAGCGTCGACGCGGATCCAAGAGCAAAAGCCATGACCGCGCTTCTTAAGGCCGAGGACTTCCACGCCGGGGTTGAAGGGGCGGCTTGTGGAGGCAAAATTGGCGGCGGGGAAGTAGGAAGAAGACGTTGAGGGTATTGGCGGGAGGAGGGGTTCTTTGAGCGTCGCAGCGGCCATTGGAGAGAAGGTAATCGGAGATAGTTTAGAAAGGGGATTAATGCGAAATAAACATATAACAATTGGCCGTCAGTTTGCAGAATATGAAGTTTCAGAATATGAAGTTTGGACTTATTTGGCGATGAAGAAATACGGCGATTGAAGGATTTGCGATAAACCGGAAAAGATTTAAATTAGGGATATTAACAATAATACTACATAATTCTTGTGTATTTGCATATTTAAAACCTAAATATTAATATTTACAAACATACCGAAAGTGTTTTTGATGAACATATTATTAAACTTAAAGATGATCAAAGGTAATTTGGTCGCTCTAACACTTGAATAATTTAAACACTGTGGCAAACTATTTGTGTTCTATGGGCACCAAATTTGATGACAAATTTAGAGCACTATTAATCTCATCTTTATTTCTAGAGAGTTGGGGTGGATTTAGACATGACAATGAGTAACTTTTAGGGTAATACAAAGTTAAATTTCAATGACATCGTTAGACTAATTTTGAATGAAAAAGTTTGTAAGAAGGCAAGCGGCGAATCTTTAAATTGTGCGTTAAATATTGAGAACTGAGAAATAAATATGGATAGGAATATAGATAGAGACAGATTCAAGTCCAAAAAAAAGACCAATTTTGGAAGAATAAATGACAAAGAAGAGTGCTGGAACTATATAAAGAAATCTCATTTCAAGGAGGACTGTAATGCTTCGAAGAAGGCTAGTGGTGGAAGCCACGATAAAAATCTATTTGTAAATGTCTTTACAGGTGAAATCCAAGGTAAGTCTATGATTTTATCTTTAATCAATACTGAATCTTGGATAGTATATTCAAATGCCTCTTTTTATACATGCCCCGACAAAGAGGTCAGGGTGACTTAGAGAATGTGTATTAGGGAGAAAACAATGCTTGTAGCATTGTAGGAAAATGTGATGCTGATGTCAAGTTTTGAAATGAAACATTCTGGAAGCTCAATTAAATTAGACATGTTTTAAACTTTAAGAGAAATTTGTTCTCGGTGAGTCAGTCTTGCAAGGTAAGGGTACATGACTACTTTCACATGTGATTCATGGAAGGTTGCCAAAGGACAATGATGATGGTTCGGGGCAGCTTTGAAGACACTCTTTATTTGATCAATAAAATAACATTACTCATTGAAATGACCAGAACAAACTTTGATGCTAGACTTTGGCATCGTAGGCTTGGTCAGTTGAGCGAGAAAGATATGAAGTACTTATTTTTAAAGAACAAGCTTCAAGATTTGAAATCCATAGAGCAAGATATTTGTGAAGATTGTGCATATGCCAATCAAAATAATTAAAAAAAAAAAGTAGATGAATAGCAAAATCCAAGCAGATGAAATTAGCGCACACTTATGTATGAGGTCCTAATCATGTTTAGTGTATTGGAATTTTCTACTATTTTATCACTTCCATAGATGCTCGCCCCAAAAAGGTATGAGTTTACTTCTTAAAACATAAATCTAATGTATTTAAGGTGTTTAAGAGATTGAATGCCATTTTAGATAATTAGACATACTTGTAGCAAGAGTGTGTTGGATCAGATAATGGTGGCAACTATCGTGATCAGAGGTTTCAAAAGTTATTGCGCTACAAAAAGGATCAGGCATGAGTTCACTGTCCTAAGGACACCACATCTAAATACTATGATTAATCACATGAATAAAATCATCAAAGAGTATGTTAGGAGTATAAGGTTGCATGCAGACTTATCGAAATAGTTTTGGATAAAAGTAGTGAGCACTACAACTTATCAAATAAATCATGATCCATTAGTAGCTTTGAATGATGTCTTACCAAAAGAAGTCTAGAATGACAAGGAGGTAAATATTTTTTACCTGAACGTATTTAGTTGTTCAACAAATTTTCATATTGAAGTAGGATGTATAAGTAACATTGACTCAAAACATATCAAGTGAATTTAGAAGAATTTGGGTATAATTTTGGGATTATCAGAATCAGAAGTTCATCAGGAGCAGGGATCTGACTTTCAATAAAATAGAAATGTACAAGGATTATAGTAGAACTCAAATCAGCTACTTCTAAATAATCATCCAATCAATGTGGGTCGGGTCGGGCTTCGGGCTTCACACTTCTTTAGAAGAGAAAACAATATGTTAAAACATTGACATGTGACAGTGGAGTCCGGAAGTAAATCTACGTCTGGACTCTGGACGTAATATTCTTCCATGAATAGGCTTTTAGTACCGCATATGGAAAAGATTCATGTATTTTGTTGTTTAAATACAATTACGAATTTAACCACTCAATTCTCTAACAGTTATGGGCATAAAGTTTAAATTGAGATCTTTGTATTTTTAGAATGAAAGATTTTTTAAAATAGATATTTAAATTCTAAACTTATTTATCTAATTATGATTTATTGAGATTTATTTATATGTCATTAATAAGATTTAATAGCTTGACTTAACGCTTTAATGAAGCTAAACGCAACTGGGCTTGAATGGGTTTGCACCAGTTCGTTTGAAGCCCTAGCAAGAGGCAATTGGGCAAGATTCAAAATTCAAGGCAGGCAATTGCCCACCCTCAATAATACTTGGTCATGCCTATATAATTTTATGACTAAAAAAGTTGAGCTATAGTGATAACTAGATAGTGATTAACGTGTTCTTAAACTTTGGTCTCATAATTAGAGAAAAATCTCCTTACAAATCACTCCATAAGTAGGAGCGAACTAAGCCAAGTTGACTCGTGAGCCTACTCTAGCTCTACTTGATAGGTGACTTGTTAGCATGAGCTAACAAGCCAACCTCAAGCCAAGCCCGATTCATCTCACTAGTTTGTGTGCTATCTCATTTTAAACAAAATATCAATATAATCAAAATATATTAAAATTTATGTTCTTAACTTTAAATCATTGAAAATATTTTATATTTTATATCAAGTGATTTTTTATTAATTATCTTTAATTTCTATTTTATTTCAATATTAACTTAAATTCATATTATTTTCGTCTTTATAGTTAATATACTCGTTCATATATCTACTTGTACTCTTAAACTATAGCTCAAAAGCAAACTCATTTAGCTAATCAAATGTAAATTCTAAGCCCATGGTAGCACAAACCCTACTCATCGCCTTTAAAACCCTATCACAAATTAACTTTTCTAAAATATTTTAAAAAAATAATAATAATTTTCAGTAAATGATGCTAAAATGATAAGGAGGCATTGATGATCACTAACAACTACCCCATTAAATGCAAACCGCACCCCTTTATGACCCACTGATTCAGTCAGCCACGTGTCAGACAAAAAGGCCGTTAATGTCTAAAATGGTGCGTTTAAGCATCCTCTTGTTTGGCCATCTTAAGCCCTTTAATATTCATTTCATCTTTCAATACGGTATTTTAATCATACCTTTTCATTTGAGTGGAAACTAATGATTTCAGCCGTTCTGTTGACTCATCTAAATTTATCCAGCATCTCGATTTTCTTAAATTACATACATACCACCCAATTCCCATCCATTTACAAATCTAACACCTAAATTTTATTTGTTTTCATTTATACCCCTCCAAATCTTTCATAATATAACAAAAATACCATCATTTAAACTTTAGCTCTCTCTCCCTCTCTCTATAGTTCCCATTGTATCAAACATATGAGTTCTTAGAGCTAGGAAAAAAGGTAACTTTGAGAGAGCCTTCATATGATGAAATCATCAGAAGGATTGCTGCTCATTTTCTCTTTTCTTCTTCGTGCCATCGTCTCCACCGCCGCCAGAGAAGCCGCGTTTGATAGAATAGAAGAGTTGCCGGGGCAGCCTCCGGTGAACTTCGAGCAGTTCTCCGGCTATGTGTTGGTGAATGAGAAGAGAGGAAGAGCTCTTTTCTATTGGCTAACGGAGGCAACTGGTAATGCTCATGAGAAGCCCCTGGTTCTTTGGCTCAATGGAGGTCAGTATCTTTAGTTAATTCTATTCTCTTTTCCCCTTCCTCTTAATTACTTCATATTATTCACAATGAAAATTTATTAACATAATTAGATTCATGGTCATTGCATGTTTATAAGTTTTTTCTAAAAGAAGTTCATGAGAAGATGTGGAGATCTCTTCCAAGAGCTTTTAGAAAGAATATATTACATAAATGCATGTATATAATTATATTCTAATATAAATGTAGAAGTTCGAATTTCGAAGTATTGAAGTGTAGATGACTCCTTAGCATAAGGCGGTGTTTGGTATCATACAGTTAGTAGGATTTAGTCATGAATTTAACTTAATTTTAGTCAAATATCAAAAAAATTGAAACTTAAATTCAAGCCTCTGTTAAATCAAAATCCTTCGCTTTCTTTTACTTTTCATAGTGTTTGGTCTCAATTATGATGTAAATTTGGATTTTATAAATCAGAATGAGAGACTGATTTAAAGGATTTATCCTGTTGTCGATGGCTACCCATCTCCATCACAGAATTTAACTATAACTTTAGGTAGCAACCAAACATCGTCTAAGAAAAGGAGAGACCGTCATGATTATTTTATGTTTTTGCTCATATTGGGAAAATGAGATTTTAATTTTAAGTATTTTATTTAATATTTGGTGAAAACATTTTACATTTAGTTTTTTTTTAATATTATTTTTTTCATAAATGATTTAAAAATGATAGGAAGCATTGATGGTTAACAATAACTATCACATTAAATGAAGACTGCTATATTTTTAAAACCCTCAAATACAACCTGTCACGTGCCAGATAGAAGTAAATTACAAACTCTGCTTTATTAGCATATCAGCATTTGTCCGGCAAAATTGCGCCCAACATAATAACTTAATGTGTCGAACTCTAAAAAATATTATGTCCGAATAATAAATCAGAGGCCGTATATTGTCATGCAACTGAATTAGAGATAATGTGCGGATGTGTATGACCGTAATAGTTTCTCCTCCAAAATGGGATTTCTTAAGCCTTTTAATATTTCTTCCTTATCAAGTTTTGTTTTATTCATACTTTTTTATTTCCTTTTAACATGTATACGGCTGAAAAAGAAATTGTTATTCAAAAAATTATGATGTTGATTACCAAAATTTATATTTTTAAGCAATCATCGCTTTTAGCTGCACCGTTTTGGATTTCATGAAAAAAAAAAAAAACAGTTTTACCAAACAGGAAAAACAGTGGTGCGGCACCGCATCGCCACCCCAAACACAGACTAAAAGCACCGAGACTCTGTTAAGGGTTCATAACTATTTAAATAATCGAAAATCATATGAAAAATATAAATATTTATTCTGACGTATTTAATATTATATATTCACCTTTGTATATGATTACAATTTAGAAAAAAATGATTTTTTTAATATAACTTAAAAGGAAAAACTACTTACATACTACTTAATTTCTACGTATTTATATATCTAACACATAAACTTCAATACGCTCCCACGCACATCGACTTTTTTATGTATGAAATGGTGTGTTTCATATTTTTAAAAGTTAAAAAAAATGATATTTTTTAAGTGATATAAAATATTTGGGTGCTATAAATGTAAAAAGTAAAATTTAGGGATTAGATATTTAAATATAGGAATTTAATAGTATGTTTTGTAAATGGCCCCACTAAAAATTTAGCAGCAATATCACTTTTTGGAAGAGAGAGATAGATGAGGCAAGTTATTAGAAGAAAATTGTCTCTTAGTTTCTAAAAGAATTCTCTCTCTCTCTCTCTCTTTATTTATAAAAAGGTAAAAGTATATATATATATATATATGTGTGTCTGTGTGTAGCTGGAAATTGCCACCTCGTTGAGCTAGGATAAGTTGTTGCGAGAGTCAAGCAGAGATTCCCCTTTTTGGTCACCACCTTGCTCCAACTTGCCTACCCTCTCGGGTCGGCCACCAGCCCCTCGGGTCTGCCTCCTTGGGTCGGCCACCCAACTCCTCTGATTGGCCTCCTCGGGTCAGCCACCCAGCTCCTCGGGTCGCCCATCAGCCCCTTCGGTCGGTCATCAGCTCCTCGGGTCAACCACCCACAAGCTCCCCGGGTCAGTCACTAGCTTCTCAGGTCGGCCACCAACTCCTCGGGCTCGGGTCAGTCACTCAACTCCTCTGGTTACCTTATTGGGTTGGCCTCCTTGGGTGGCCACCCCTAGTAGTCGGCCATCCAACATTAACATACTCAACGCTTCAGAATGACAAAAGGATCATAATACCCTTTACTGCCATCCTTAAAGCAAGGGCATTGTTGTAATATTATTTTTTCTTACTGTCATCTTCTGTAAATAGTGGACCATTGCCACGTGAAAAAGGGTCGAAGCCTCTATCTCTCTCAACCCCATACAAAAAGAAACTCTTTCCTTCTTCCCGCTTGTAACTAGGGTTGTAATCTAGCCGATCTAAGCCGAGTATATCATTGTTCAGACTTGTTGATATGCTCGGCTTGGTATAATTATAAGTTGTTCATCTTCGGGTTGAGCTTGTGTCGAGCTTTCATACAACTTGAACTATTTAACTTGTTCAATGTTCGAACTTGATTTGTACTTGATTTGTTTATGATAAATAAACGAGTATTTAAAATAGCTAAAAATTCAAACAATAATCTATATTTCATATAAAAAGTTTAATAAATAATTTTACAATTTTGATCATAGCTACTAATTTGTCGATTATAAATTGTAAAATTTTTTACTTACTAATTAGTTAAACAATTCTTAATTATAGGACTACCATAGTTCAAATTTTGTACGTAGAAGAACTATATTGATTATAAAAGTTATATGGATGATCATTTACTTAATCATATTAATAAGAAAATAATAAAAATATTATTGTTGGTAATTACAATGCGATAGTTATAAAAAATGAACTCATTACTTTGAAGGCTCTAAAACTCCACAATAAAAATCTTTTTTTGTAACTATCTTTAACTGTCAATATCTCATTCTAAATTACCACTCACTTATTAATAAAATAAATATATAATTATAAACAAAAAATATTATTGATATAGAAAAATATTACTATTAAATCTATAATTAAATAAATTTTATATAAATAATATATCATATATATAATATGAGTTATTATCTGTTAGTGTGGAGTCTAATCCCGTCCAGCCTCCATATCCCGCTCCCGCTTCCCGTTCCCATGCCCGATTGCAAAAGGTCGCGACCGCGACCCTGCGGTTTTGTGAAAACCGCTGCTCTTGCCTCCAAGATCGCGAAACGATGCCGCCTTTCGTCTCCTTTAAGTTGCAAACAGAGAGTGTGACTCTCCTTCAAGTTTGTAAGTCACAGTTTGTGTTCTTCTTCGGGCTTCCTCAGGATAGAAGGAAAGAAAGTGCAAGCAATAGTTCCTTGCAGTGAAAGAAGAAGAAAGAAGAAGAAGAAGTTTGTTCTCCCTTGGCTTCTTCTTGGTGACTTGTGGCAGAAGAAAAATTAGGTATATTTCTCTTGTAAGTTTATATTCTTCGGTGTATCTCGGTATAGAGTTTTTTCGGTGTATTTCGGTGTAGAGAGAGAAGAAAAGAGAGAGAAGAAGAGAGAGCAACGAAGTAAGAGATTCCTATTGTAAATCAAGGTGATCTACTGATGTAAATTTCTCAAATAGTAAAATCATCTCCAACTCCGTGAACGTAGGCAATTTGCCGAACCACGTAAAAAACTTCATCTTCCGTTATTGAGGAAAAGACCTGAAAGAATGGATGAGGCTGAATGGAATTTGTTGGATCGACAAGTTATGAGGGTTATTCGATTGACCCTATCGAGGTTTGTTGCACACAACATCGTCAAGGAGATGACGACTGCAGATCTCATGGCAGTCTTGTCAGGTATGCATGAAAATTCATCAACGAATAACAAAATGTACTTAATGAAGAAGTTATTCAACTTGAAGATGATGGAATGTGTTTTTGTTGCTCAACACTTAAATAATTTCAATACTATCACAAATCAATTATCGTACGTTGAAATTGATTTTGATGATGAGATACGTGCGTTGATATTGTTGGCATCGTTGTCAAATAGTTGGAGTTGGAAAGCCATGAAGATGACAGTTAGTAGTTCTGCAGGTAAATCTAAAATGAAATGTGATGATATTCTTGATTTGATCTTGGCTGAGGAGGTGCGCAAAAAAGATTCTAGCGAGATCTCAGGCTCGAGTTCAACATTGAATATTGATTTAAGAGGGAGATGACATGACAAAAACTCAAGTATAGGGAGTTTAAAATCAAAGTTTAGTCAACAGACAACCTGTTGGAATTGTGGCAAGGCTGACCACATAAAGAGAAACTACAGGAATCCCAAGAATATGGAGAATAATAGCGCAAATATGGTATCTGAAGAAGTGCATGATGCACTATTGCTGACAGTTCATTGTTCTTTTGATGATGAAAGTGAATAGGAGAGTGGGTCTGGGGCACCCATTTCTATTATTCTACAGACGGATGATGGAGAACCACAAAGTTATGAAGAAATATTGCAAGATGAAAGTTCGAGCAAGTGAGAGCTGGCAAAACTTCCACCAAGGAAGAATACATTACACAACAAGTGAGCGTACCAGGTGAAGACTGAACATTATGACAATAAGAGGTACAAGGCTAGACTTGTTGGAAAAGGCTTTTAGTAGAGACATGATATTGCCCATGCAGTGGGAGTTGTAAGTAGAGACAAGAGTAATCCAGGAAATAGCTTGGAGGTGCAAAGCTATGTTGCTCTGCTGATATGTTGACTGAGGGTGTTACTCTTGAGAAACTGAAGTTGTGTGCAGCTTCAGTTGGTCTTCTGGAGTGAAGACAACGTTTTGAGTTGCAGAGGTGGAGGAATCAAGGTGAAGGATTCAAGTTTGAAGAAAAGGGCGACACCACCAGTGGAGGATATCAGTTTGAGGAAAAAGACGCTGAAGTCAGTGTATCAATCTCCTCCAAGTGGGAGATTTGCTAGTGTAGAGCCCAATCCCGTCCAGCCTCCCGATCCTGCTCCTGCTCACCGTTCCTGCGCCCAATCGCAAAAGGGCGCGACCGCGACCATGCGATTTCGTGAAAACCGCTGTTCCCGCCTCCAGGATCGCGAAACGACGTCGCCCCTCGTCTTCTTTAGGTTACGAGCAACGAACACGATTTTTCTTCAAGTTTCTAAGTCACGGTTGGTGTTCATCTTTGGGCTTCCTTAGGATAGAAGGAAGGAAAATGCAAGCAGCAGTTTCTTGCGATGAAGGAAGAAGAAAGAAGAAGAAGATTATTGTTCCCCTTGGCTTCTTCTTGGTGGCTTATGACAGAAGAGAAATTGAGTTTATTTCTCTTGTAAGTTTATCTTCTTTGGTGTATCTCGGTGTAGAGTTTATTCGGTGTATAGAGAGAAGAAAAGGGAGAGAGAAGAAGAGAGAACAACGAAGTGAGAGATTCCTCTTGTAAGTCGAGTTGATCGACTGGTGTAAATTTCTCAAGTAGTAAAATCTTATGCAACTTCGTGGATATAGACAATTTGTCGAATCACGTAAACTTGTGTGTTATGCTATGTTACTGTTTTCTGGTGTGAATTTTCTCGTTATATTTTTTCGCTTCAAAGATTGTTCTCCTATTTGATTTATATGTATATCACAACAACTGATATTTGTATATCTGACAACATTATCGAGTTTAATATCGATTGTTTAACAAGTTACTTGTTGAACAACAAACGAAAAAGAACAAGTTCAACTATATTTATGTTCATGTTCGATTTCTTTAAGCTTCGAGCTTTTAAAAATTATTCAAGCTTGTTTATTTGCTAATTTGAACGAACATGATCAATCCTTAATCAAGTTGAGTTCAATTTGTTCATTAAGTGCATTGGTTTATTTACAACTCTACTTGTAATCTTCAGATTGTGTGGAATACAAGAGGTCAAAGAGTCCGGAAACACCACTTTCTGTCTCTCACAGGACAACTCTCTCTCTCACTCTCATTCTCTTTCTACTTCCTTGAATTTTGTACTCTATTCCTTGGGCACAAACAATATATATTGTTGAACCCAAATCTTTAGATATATGTATATAGATATATATATATATATATAAATATGAAAAGTTGGGTTTATTTATAAGGGGTGTCTTTTACAAGTAGATTCCAATTCAAAGTTTCAAACTAGCGATATGACACAAAATGCGACAAAGTTTAGTGTAAATGTGATTGATACATAATATATTGTCAAAATAGTTGTCATAGAGCTATTGGACTTGTATATTTCCACCGGATAGGATACGGTTAACAAGTCAATCAAAGGAGTCATTATATTTTTATATTTTAGGCTCATCTTTTAGGATCAGGTGTGGATTATAATATACTTATGCACCCTTGACCTACAGTAACCTAGATTTAAAATAAAAGGCAATGAAAACTATCTTAACTCCTAGTCACCCAAAATAATATTCCTAAAAAGATGGCTCCAGTTCCAACAGTAAAGGTGGCATGTATGTTAAAATTTAATTTTAGATGTCAGATATGAAAATTCATAGGTCGAAGTGGTAAAAAAATATTATAATAGAAGTTCTGATCCAAAATAGTATCAGAACTCGAATTACAATGCACAATGTGTAGGGTCTGGCCCTCATTAAATTATTTAGTTCTTTGTAGTCAGTAGAGCCGGAAGTGTATTCAGTGGGACCAGATCTTATACGTGGCGCATTGTATTTGAAGTCCTGATATAATTTTACATCAGGACTCATGATGTAATATTTTTTTTTCTAAATAAGGCAAAGAAAACTATCTTAACTTTTAGTCAGTCAAAATAATATTTCTAAAAAGATGGCTGCTTTTCCAATAGTGAAGGTAACATGTATAGTAAAATTGAATTTTAGATGTACATAAATATCAGTTGTGAACATTAGATGTCCTGATGCAAAATTGTATTAGGACTCCAATCACATTACGTCACGTGTACGGTCCAACCTCGCCAGAGATTAAATTTTTAGTTTTTTGGTATTCACTGATTTAATATTTTTTGCTAAAGAAGGCCGCGCAACTCAATTATCATTCTCACATGCATGTAAATATAAAATAGGAATGAATGCAAGAGCCTTATTTATTTTATTTATTTATTTATTCAGAAGGCATTCGACACACGTGACTCGATATCTCCTTGCTGTGCAAAAAGACCCAATTATTTTTTCTATTTGCTTCTATATTTTAAGCTGTATGTTCCCGTTGCCAGACATAAAAACAAAATATTACAGCCTGCAAACTTTTGGTATGCTCTCTGTTAAAGGGTGAAAAGAGAAATACTATAAGTGCCGCACTGTTGCTCCATCTCTTCTCTCTTTGCCCCTCCATTTTGTTCTTCTGACTTTGCAGAATTCACAGAGCATGCTTTGCTTGCTTGGTTTCTGACCATTGCAAGTGGGGGAGGAGATGGCCTTTTTTGCTTTTCCTTATATATATTTTCCATCTACTTTTTTTTTTTTTTATCATTTTTACTCTTATTTTATTTAATCAAACATGTCATATATATATATATATATATATATGACATGTTTGATTAAGCTATTATATTTTTAAAAAATATGCAAAACTACTATAAATTATTTGTGTATTTTCAAAAATATATTATTTTATTTTTATAAATAAAAAAATAAAGGGTTGTGAAAAACATACTAAACGAATACATTCTCAAAATTAAATATTTTCAAATATAAGGTTGGCATAATGGTAATTTTAAATTTTAAATATATATGAAATTAAAATTGCATTAACTTCATTAAGGCATGATTAGCAGATATAAAATGGGCATAAAAGCAGCCACAAAAAAGTAATATTCTTTTGTAAGAAAAAAATCTTAAGTTCTGGGTATTGCATCTCCGGATGGTCAATCGCAGGGCGCCACGTCACTATACATGTCGTCAACAGGCGACGTGACACCCCACAGTTTGCCGTCCATGCGTAATATTTTTTCGTAAGTCTCGACTCCATGGGATACAGGTTTGGCATTTTATTAAAAAAGATAAAATTTTAACTTCAATCTCAAATTGAATAATTAAACAACATACTGATCAACTACAATTAGGAATATGATAATTTTTTTATCATAGTTATGTATCAAAATTACGAATAATCCTAATTTGGTATTAACGGCTAATAAGTATTTTGATCTTCATCATGCATAGCTAAACACATAATTAGTGTTTTCTAATTATTAATGTCATCTTTTTCATTTCAACCATAATTAAAGTTATGAATCATTACATGCCATCATCAAAAGAGAACTGTTTATCCGCCTTTTCGTCGCTTTACATTGAAAACTTAGTCAGACGTCTAATATCTGTAGAAATAATGCAGAACTGCTCCTCACTATGCTCAAGTCAGGGTTGGAGTTTTACTATGAATTTTGATATATGAGTGAGAATTTGAAAAATTGATCGAAGAGAATGGGTTGATTTGTAAATAACAAATGTTTTGGGTGCTCTGCATGTAATTGCCTTGGTGATACATGTGATCTTCTTACAGCATAATATTTTTACTTTCTGATGTATTTTTTAAATTTATTTTGATTTAGTTGAGTTGAGTTAATTATTCAGATACTTTGATCAGGACCCGGTTGCTCCTCAGTAGCCTATGGAGCTTCTGAAGAAATTGGACCGTTTCGGATCAACCGAACCGGTTCAGGATTGTACCTCAATAAGTATTCATGGAATAGAGGTTGTTGGGCTAATAAGGAATTATATCCTACTTATTATTTTCATTATTTTTCATACTTAAATATTTAATTATTATTATTATTTTTTTTTAAATAAACAGAGGCAAATATATTATTTCTGGAATCACCGGTCGGAGTGGGCTTCTCTTACACGAACACGAGCTCTGATCTGAAGAAGTCTGGTGATGAAAGGACCGGTACATATTACTCGTTTAATTTTTTTTTAAATATTTTTTTGAATTAGTCCATAAATTTCATTTTTTTCCCTTTTTTTTTATGTAATTATAAATCTGTATCGCATGTGGGTGTTGGATTTGCAGCTGAAGATTCACTGATTTTCTTGATCCGGTGGATGGAAAGATTTCCAAAATACAAGCACAGGGAACTGTACATTGCTGGTGAAAGCTATGCGGGTAAGCGAAGGCCCAATTTATACATATGAATGCATGGCTAACTTGGCCCTTCTAAAGGGGAAGAGTTGGATTAAGTCTAGTACATTCACTGATTTAAATGAAATGATGGAGAGAAAATTGATTGAGGAATATAGTTTTGCTCGAGTACTTTCTTACAATGCTCGTGATTGTCGTATGATCCCTTATTTATAGGTTAGAGTCAAGTACATGATACGACTAAGTTGGCGATAGTTGACTGAAGGAACTAAGTTTTATGTGCTGAAGTGTGCATAAGAGACTTATGCTTAGTAGATATTTAAGTGACTTCGAAGAGGAAATATGCAACTTTGGCTTGATTCAAACATGCTCAATATTCACCAACTCATTGCACCTAATTCATGTCCAACCTGATGAATTGATTCACTAACTCGAATTAATATGATTGTATTAGTTTTATGATTTTCTTGTCTTGTACGAATCCAGAAAGAATGTAGCAATTAAAGTGTTGACAATGCATATTGCCCTTGGTTTAGAGAATCTAATAATGGGTGGGACGCATGTGTAATGAACGGGTTTGAATAGTTATCATTAAATACCTTGGCTATCAAAAGAACTTACACTACAGAAATTTAGTTTATTTTCGACGATCAAATACTGTCGTTAATAATAGATAAACAATATGTAATATACTTATCGATGGTTTAGCTATGATAAAATTGGCGTGACAAAAACACTTGTTAGTATTTAAATTATTGATGTATTTAATGATGGTTTACATTAACTAACGGTTAACCCTACCATAACCGTCACTATAGATTCAAAAACATAACATGTTTAACCGTAGCCCGACTGTTGGTTATATAATGACCAAAAACGATCCTAGGAAAACTGTTGCAGTTCCGCTGGAGAAGTATCACGGTCCTATTGGTAAACTGTCTCAAACCGTCAGTTAATCGTGGGAATTTACCGATGGCTCTTTCAGTAGCAAAAGTGCAACACTTTGCTCAAACATCGCTCGTTCAATAGGCCGTCGGAAAATCGTCGCTTGTTGTATAAATTTTCATGAAGTCGTCGATAAGCCATAAAAAAACAAGTATAATTAAAAAAAAATTATAAATCCCTCTTTAAATGTTACAATTTGCACACCTACAATGTAATAGATCAATCAAAACACAACACAATATAGTAACAAAACTAATTAACACATAAATCATATACATAAATAAAAGAAAAATAATTGAATTAGAACAAACGAAATGTACAACTACATAATAAAACTAATATTCACTAACAATAAATTGTTCAATACACAATCAAACAAAAAAAAAACCCTACTCATCCTCCTTATCATCCTGTGTCTCTCGTCATCATCATCATCCCCACCCTAATCCTACACTGGCTCCTTCCCTTTATGCAGTTCCAAATGCAACACCGCTTTGATCTCTAAAATCATCTCTGATCTCAGGGTGGCTACTTGGGCATCAACTTGGTGACGCATCCCCTCCTCCTGTGATATGCAAGTGGATGCACCAGATGTGCTAGAGGTATGGTAGGAATCATAGGTCGACGCCTGGGACCCCAACCCATAGACCCTGCACTTCTTCTTCCCCCCGACATCCTCGCTCTGGAGGTCGTACTCAGAAGGATCGTGAGATGTGCCCGAACCACAGACTGACTGTTGAGATTGACTCTCCTTGAGCCTCAAGAAGGCATCCCTTCTCTTGTATCTGTCAGTGTAATGGAATAGTTAACATACATTTAATGTAAAATAAGATTTAAGGAAAAAAAAATGACTTATCAGCCTCCTCTTGTACACCATATGTGGGAGGGCTTCAACGGTGTGCTTTGAGGCCTGCATGCTTCCGCAGTTAAAGCAGAGATTCAGCTTTGCCTGCTCCCTCTTCCTTTGATACTCGGGAGAGTCTCAGGCCCTGATTAATGTGGCAAATACTTCATCGTCCAACCACAAAAGGGTGCTCACGTATATCACCAAACTGGTCTTGCAGGAGATCGCTCCACTTATGCTCAAAGTTCGCACGGATGTGTGCCTCCTTCTCGGGGGACCAGGACCATTGTTTATGTAAATTTAATTATAAATTGTAAGATTCATAAAAATAAATAAATAAATGTAATTATTCTGTTCAGGGTTTACCTTAAACTCACCAAACCACATATCACGAACTATGACCAGGATCTCTTTGCAAGATAAGTACGGGTGGTCGTATTTGCTCTGAATTAAATCTCTAATGGAATGAATGGCCTGTCTAGGAGGACTAAATTTGAAAATAACATATAATTAGTTCTCTATTAACTGAAAAAACACAAGAAAATAATATGGGCATTAAATTAAAACATATGCGTTCCCCACTGCTCTGAGCCGATGATGGTTGCTCAAACTCAATGACACATCAATAACAACCTATGAAGACGGTGTTGGTGGTGTCGTTGTCACGCCTAATGGTTGTGGTGGTGTCGTAGGCGCGAGTGTTAGCAGTAGTGGTGTTGTGGCTGGTGATGATAATAAGATTTAGTTTGAATAAGATTGAGTAAATCCTGTAAATCTGATTTATGAAACCTTGAAGGGTTTAAATCTAGAAAACTGTTTGGTATGTTAATAAGTAAATCCTAATAAATTCGGAGAAAGCTTTTGTTGACTTTAATAAGATTTACTAAGTTCCACAAGCTTCAGCTTCTCTACAACAACAACAACAACAACAACAACAACAACAACAACAATAACAAGCCTTTTCTCACTTGGTGGAGCCAGCTACATGAATCCTTTTTCCCCATTACATCTTATTGAGAGTCATATTTTCATTAAATTCAAATCAATTATGATCATTTTTTTATAAAATATACCGAAGCCTTTGTAGGTGGTTTACCTCTACCTTTCTTTACATAAGTCAAATCTAAAACATCTACTCGCCTAACTAGTTCATCAGATGGTCAACGTTTAATGTGACCAAACCATCTAAGATAACTCTCTAATTTTGCTCACCATAGGAGCTACACTAACCCTTCCACGGATATATTCATTTCACATTTTTTCTATAAGTGTAAAGCCACTCTTCCACCTGAGCATTCTCATCTCGACAACGCTTAACTTAATTTTATGTCTCTTTTTTAAAGGCAAACATTATGTGCCAAAGAGTATTGCAGGACTCACCACCATCTTATAAAACTTTCCTTTCAGTCTGAGCGGTACTTTTCTATCACACAATAGACCCGAATATTTCCTCCACTCAAATTGAATTCTACTAATAACATCCTCTTCTAAATCACCATCACCCAAAACACTAAACCAGAGATATCCAAGGCATTCACACCTTAGATATATCTGTAGGCACTATTTTTGGTGTGGGGTTTGCCCGTAAGAAGTTGTCGGTCATCGGAATTGAAATCCCGTTGCCCGCTTCAAAAGGACGTTTTTTTTTTTTAAAAAAAAATTTAGTTTTGAAAAAGATGAAGTCAAACTGACCCCATAATTTTCATAGTTTAGATGAAAGAGCACTTTATCTCAAATCATGTATCTATCCCGAAGGATGAACACAAGAATTGAGAGTGAGGCTCGATCAAATAAACTAAAGAAAGTTATGATATCCGTTTGGTCTGCGAAACCAATATATTGGCCGACAAGTTCCCCTATTTAATATAAG